GATTTAAACAAATCATTAAGAATCGAACCTAATAATTCTGATGCATTAAAATTTCGTGGTGAAGTTTATTGCAAGTTAGGAAGATATGAAGAATCTCTTGAAGATTTAAATAAAGTATTAGAAAGTGAACCAAATAATGTATTTGCTTTAAATAATCGTGGAATAGCTTATAAATCAATAAATAAATTTGATGAAGCTCTCGCTGATTTAAATAAATCATTCGAAATCGAACCAAATAATGCCGATACATTAAAATTTCGGGGTGAAGTTTATTGTAAGTTAGGAAAATATAAAGAAGCCCTTGTTGATTCAAATCGTTCATTGGAAATCGAACCAGATGATGCTTTTGCGTTAAAAGTTCGCGGTGCAACTTACCATATGTTGGATAGATATGAAGAATCGCTTGCCGATTTAACCAGATCATTGGAGCTTGAACCAGATGATCCGTTTGCATTAAGAAATCGTGGTGCAACTTATCGTATGTTAAGTAGATACGAAGAAGCACTTATAGACTTGGATAAGTCATTAGAACAAGAACCTGATAATGCATTTGCGATAATGAATCATGGTGCAATTTTTTATTGACGGATTAAAATAAATAGCTATATGAGGTTGTTTGAGATGGTTTTTTTTTTAAATTTTAAAATATAAGCTTTGTTATATGAAATGCTTGTAGGATTAATTTTGAACCTACCTGGAACATTGTATTTTAATTAAAATTGTAAACCAAAATTGGTTATCCAATACTTGTATAAAATAATAATTTTAATAAAAAATTTTTTAAAAAATTTTATTTTTTTTTTATTTAATGAATAATAAAAAAAATAGTTCATGATTTTCATGTCAATCTTTCTTTTAAATTATCATGTCATTGACATAAAAAAATTGTTTTTTTTATTGCGAAATAAAATTTTGTTACAATTCTTGTTAAAAACATATTAAGCATTTTATAAGGAATCCAAGATTTTGTCAGATATATCACATTTTAAAAACGGCTTAGCATAACTATACTATACAAGAAATTGGAAGCCAAACGTTCTACTAGCTGACCAAAATTAATGCTCATTTGTATCTTCATATATATTTAACCGTAGACTCTCGTAATTGCAGATCGCATTAAATCCTCTTTACCGCATACTATCGATATAATCAATATACTCTTTATTGGACTAATCGGTTACATTACGCATCCTTCTATACTGTGATTGGGGTCTAATCTCACAAAGAGATTCTCGCTTGGCTTATTACGTTAACGGCTGGTATATCATTCCAAGTACTGCCATCTTAACAGTTAATTAACGATGCATACGGTTAGTTCATTTAGGACGTCTTTAACTAGTGCAAGTCACCAAAAGGATCGATGCACGTATCGGTATAGCGATAGTATCGGCATTAAGATTATCGCTATGTTACACAAAATGATCCTAGCTAACCCCTGCGCTACGAATTCCCAGGGTTACAAACTACCCCGTGACAATAATACGTACGTACGTACATATTGAGGATCCTTATTATACTCATTAAGAATTGTGATGTTTTTTATTGTAAGTAAATTAATTAACCAAATAAATACAGTACTTTGGTAAAGAATTTACTATATTAAAGTTTATTTTTTTGTAGAAGTCTTTTTTATTCAACCTTTTTAATAATTTTATCACTGTAAATAATACTAAGTCATTTAAACTTCATAGTCTCATAGCGCTAAAGAAATATCTATTTTTATGTCTCTAAATAGTACGTTACGACTA